ATATACATTATCCATAATACAGGGCAGCATTTTATCTGCTGCCAATCAACATGATGAAATTATGTCTGTCCCAAAAAGCATGATGAATATTGCTACTATATACACACACATTATTATTATTTTTTTTGCCCTAAGGGCCCCCGGGTGTATTGCCTGTACCCCACTGATGGTGGCCCTGGTCATGATCCACACAATCTATCTTCTAGTTAAAGACCATAACATTTCCTCTGTACATGGTGTTGGCAGAATTGCTAGCATATGTATACATTTTTAGAATAATTTCAGTTAAAACATGCCCTATCTCCAACTTTTAGACAATCCTTGGCAGTCACAGCTATGAACACTGGATGCCTGGCAATGAGTGAGTCCTACTTAGCTTCATATCATCTAGATTCTAGAGCATATTCTCTGCATGGGCTGTTATTATTCCCAGCATGTCCAAGACTGCAAGAGTTTTGCATTTAACTGGAGGGTCGTAGAAATGGGGTAACAGGCATCACTCCATTCACATAGTAGAAGATAGGAGGAAACCAGGTGTAATGCCCCCAAACCTGGTGTCATATCATCTTATACTGTGCTGAAAGGAGCCAAGCATATGATTCGGTTGTTTATACAGGATTTTTGCTGCCTTGGGTGTTTCTGGTAATACACATCTCGTTAAATATTTAGAATTTATGATGCCCTAATCCCAGCATAGTCTAAATGTACCCACCACTGGACTGCATAATTATGAACACTTTAGCAAGTGTGTGAGATTAAATCTAGAGTCTCACAAACAAAATCTGGTAGATTTGGTTTGAGATTCTCAGATTCTGCACCCTCAGGGTTTTTATAGACGGGACACTCCAAATCAACAAATATTGACCCTCAGCTGATTTGATAGAGTCGATTTGCATATAGCATATGTAATGCCTAATGGATTATCTCTTTCTTATAAAGCCCCTAAACATCTTCGTATAATAATAATACACACTTAAAGGTAAAGTTGAAGTGTTGGTTGCTACACCACAAAAAACAGATTGATGTCAAGCTTAAATGAATTATGTAAGAACATCCTCTTAGTATGTGCAAAATAAATATATAAATACATTTCCAACAATTACGTTTAGTAGATATGTTCTGTGGTGCAGCTATCCATATCTACAGTACATTGATTTTAGAATTTAGTTTTGATATAAGTATTTTTGGAAGTTATTCACGTGTTCGCTGTCACAGTTCTTGATTACACATTTAGGTTAATCTCTTTGTTGGCACTGTTCTGTGTTTTCGGTGTCCTAGAGGAGCAACATGGGTGTAAGCCCACTGTTGGCTTAGAAACATTGCGTCACAAAATTCCACGGCAGTAGGTTGTAAAGGTATCTTAACACAATGGAGTTATACAACGCGACCAAACTTCACTCACGTTTTTACTCATTTAACCATTTTGTTTTGCTCCTGCCGGTTAAAAACATCCTTACACAAAGATAACTATATCAAACTCAAATCCTTCTTCCAGTACACCGCGTGGCTTTTCATTGAGATTCTCAGGGGATGCACCCCTATCTGTCTGTTTCTGTAAACAGTTCAGTTTTAATATAAACTTTTGTGAATCGACTCCTGTTTAGAAACCTGTGGATACTACACATGACCATCACTTGAATCTTCTCATCCTTTTATGCACGAGTGATGACCGAATGTTTTGATTCCATTGTGTCTGGCTACTTTCCATATTAGATTTCAGTGTGTATTCTGATGTTACGTTGCTACTATCTGTATCTTTCCTGTCTTTAATAAAGATATTTACTAAGAAAATGCAACTCTAGGTAACATCTGTCTTGTGTAGGTGGAGTTTGAGCGCAGGACTTATTTTTGTATATTTGTATTTGCTTTCGTATCGTACAGCTATGTTACAATGCTGCTGCTAATCCCATATGTTGCCTTTTAAGGGTTAATAAGTATGTAGGGGTTTAAGAAAAATACCCCTCACTGTATCATTACAGATTTTTTTTTTTTACCTGAAACTCAAGGAAGCAAGGTGAATATTAGAGTAGGACCCACCTAAGAGGTTTGCCTTTATGTGACAGGTGGGTTTACAATCAAATAACCTCCATGTATCTAAATATACATAGGGATTTGGGGTAGTGCGCAGGTAACTCATTTCTTTGGTTTTTATTGTATGTATTGAGACCGATGTGTACTATGGTCATAGCTGCCGCCCAAGAGTAGTGGGAGTTTGAGCTCAGGACTTGCTTCTCCACCAGTTTTAGCTTTACGTTTTCCCTTTCTTTTAACCTACCTTAGTTTTATACATAACTTTGGTCTCTTTATTTGCTTGTAACCTACTCTTTCATCATTTGTATCTGGGGGCAATCCAAACTCACCGACTCGCCAATGTTACCAGCTATGCGCCTGACTCCTGAGATTCTGTCCATGTATTACAATATTCCGCCAAAGGTTTCCCTAGATATTAAAATATAGACTAGACATGTTTAACCTGGAGTTTCAGTTACACATGTGGCGTACTGTACATGTGTAGTAACTTGACATGTGCTCTCAAGCTGTCAAAATGGAAAATTTGCCTTCGTGACTGTACGGCTGCTGGCTCTGTTTTACATCATTACCCTGTCTCATTGACATAATTAATGCTAAAGACTTCTATAAAAATAACAGAATTCTGTTCTGTTTTATGTCGGTACCTGGTTCAACTTAAATGGTTAAAGGGCTTTTAAAACAGTACAAAAAAAGCAAATATTAATAATTTCTTCATTGCACATAGAACTCAAGAAGTTGTATGTATAGATCTTTTAAGTAGATTTTTTGTTGTTGAAAAAATACATATGTAGATTCTTCAGTAAAATGTAAAAATAAAAAATCCACTGCAACCCACAGAATCAAATCAAAACAAAGAAATATTTTATTAATATTTTTCTATACTTCAAATTAGATCTTAAAAATGAGCAGATCCTTTTGCTCAATAAAAAATAACATCTCGTAAAGTTTTTTTGCAAAAAAAACCAACTCGTCAGATGTAATTGTACCTCTATCAATAGCCCTATTGTGAATGTGAACGATGCGTCGTACTTTTGCTCCCTCCCCAGTCATAATCACCAACTACACCTTGTCCCGTGCCTGACAAGTGCCTATTGACATATTGTAATGGTGATAATAGAGGTGGGAGAGAAGAAATGGCAGCGTGGGTAGAGGGGTTGGAGAGATGTCAGAGCGTGACAGTGCCAGAGTCGCCTTGGTGTCACCTCTCTGTGTGACAGGTCGCTCTCTGCTGTGTTTGTAGTGGCTGTCACTTTTGCGTGGCGTTTTCCGAAACACGGGGTGATGCTCCTTTGTGATGCTAATCCGCAGTAATGACAGCTTACCCGACTCGGGGGAGGCTATTCGTGTTAGAGGTGACAGTGTGTGACAGTAACAGCATGAAGAGGGTTTATTTAGGGGGAAAAACAACAAAAACAACATTAACCCTTATACGGGCTAGATGATTTGATTACTGTCTCTAAATCCAGCTTTTTATTCCATATTCAGCTTGTATTTTGAATTCAGTTATATATTATTATTATTTTAAAAAAAATTAAATTCTTATATTTATTATTTTTTACATGTTATACAGTGTACAGGGTTCAGTGTACAATGTTTTATGTCTCTGTTTGGTCCCAAAAATAAGCTGTGTATCTGTTTTCCAGGAACAGACCATCAGCCACTTGTCCTCCCAGTAGGTTTGATACAGGACATTCACATACGTGTAATGTATTGACAAGCTCCGATAACACAAATGAAAGCACTCTAATGACACAGCTCCATGTGAACAATGCATGCATCATTTGCGGGTCTTTACTGACTATTGCTGAGTGCACCTGCGGGAGATCTATAAATACTGTATTTTGTCAATGCTCTGCATGCTTTTGCCTTTTTTTTTTTTAAATAAAATTCTCTAGTTGACAGAAAGTTACATGCATCTTGAAGGGTTTCACCTTTCTAAGAATGTATTAATGAATAACCCTGATTGATTTGTGTCTGCAGATTTATTTTCATGCACCTGTTATTAGAAAATAATTATAAATATTTAACGTATAATTTTGTTCTGCTTATAGTGTTAATAATTTGTGTTTAATTGTACCAATAGTTTGCACTCCTTATATTATTATTATTATTGCCATTTATATAGCGCCAACAGATTCTGTAGCGTAGTGCTTTACAATATTATGAGAGGGAGAATTTAACTGTAAATAGGACAATTACAAGAAAACTTACAGGAACGATAGGTTGGAGAGGGCCCTGCTCAAACAAGCTTACAGTCTATAGGTGGTGGGGTATAAAACACATTAGGACAGGAAATAACAATCAAATAAGGTGGGAGTGAAGCAGAGCTGGAGGAGAGAGTAAAGTGCTGCCCTTTAGGAGAGAGCAAGAGACAGGTATGTAAGGTAGAGGTTAGTCTGGGAGGCCATAAGCTTTCCTAAAGAGATGGGTTTTTAAGGCACTTCTTAAAAGATGCAAGACTAGGGGAGAGTCTGATGGCGGTAGGCAGGCTATTCCATTCGAAGGGAGCCACCAGCGAGAAGTCCTTTGTACGGGTGCAAGCAATGGCCAGGAGAAGGTCACGGGCAGAGCGGAGAGACCGAGAAGGGGCATACCTAAGGACCTGTAAAGAGATAAGAGGGGCTAGAATTGTTCAATGCTTTATAGGTATAGGTTAGCACTTTGAATTGACTCCTATAGGATACAGAAAGCCAATGTAAGGACTGACAGAGGGGTGAGATGTGAGAGCAGTGCCACATTAAAAAGGATAAGTGTCAATGCGCAATGTTTCCAGTGTTACTCTTTAAACCTGGCAAGCCAGCAGACAACATAATGGAATCCTGCACACCTTATTGTCCTGAGAAAAAGGTATGATGCCTTCAGCCGCAAGTAGAATAGCAGAAAATCACGTTATCTGCTTCGTTAAAGGGACACTATAGGTACCCATACTACTCATTGAAGTGGTCTGAGTGCACTGTCCCTGTCACACTTAGTGCTGCAATGTAAAACATTGCAGTTTTTATGAGAAACTGCAATGTTTACATTGCAGTACTAAGACAGCCTCTAGTGGCTGCATGCTTTCCTATGGGGAGGGCCTAATTTGCTTGCCGCACATGCGCATTAGGTCCCTTCGTCAAATTATGTTTGAGGAGGTGGAGCGCCAACCCAGGAACAACGACCCTGGAATTTTTTACACTTTATGTACCATGGGGGGAGGGAGGCGCGAGTGAGAGGGGAACCAGGTGGCACTACAATACAGATTTGTATTCCCAACACTATAGAATCTCTTTAAGTGACTATTCACTGAACAGTGAGTTCCAGTGACCGGACTGCTGAGTTGCAAACTTCAGGCAAAAGCAGTATTTTTTTTCTTTTTTCAGCTGCTATATCTCCCTACATTTTAAATAGATGAAAAGGGATACTTTAATTTGGGGAATGTAAATGAATGTGTCCAGAGGTGTGGCTGTTCTCAGAAATTTTGGGTGACTTGCAAATAATTTATGCAGCTGAAATGTAATTTAGAACAAGAACGATATATCCCATTAACACAGACTGATTTCTTAACACATTTATTGTAGTTTAAAGACACATTACTGGTAGTACTATTGCTGTGGAGCACTATCATACTCTCATATACACCAACAATATGGGCCTTCTACAAAAGAGGAACAGAGGAATTTGTGCCCAAATATGGACTGTCCCTTCTATACAGGGTCAGTTGGGCTGTAGGATAGCCTACATTCATCTTACCTCAACTCAATGAGAATACTCCATGAAGTTGTTGAATGTCTGTCCCCTTTGGCCTGCTACCGCAAGGCTAGTAGCTCCCGTGTCCGAATGTTTCATTAGTGAGCTAGTACTGCTAATTAAACAAAGAGCTGTGGAATGACCTTTGCCCCTAGAAGCTCTGCAAGTCAGTACTGTATTTTTTCCAATCCACATTGCAGATTTGTAGACTCAGGGCTTTATGCACTAAGCCTAGGAATATGGAACACTGACAAGGGAATAACACATTCTGGTCAAATTACAATTGGGGAAAAAAAACTCAAACTAGGCTCCTTTTCCAGCTTGTTTAGAATTTCTGGTTTAGTGGACACCCTCTGGGGTGGATAAAGGGTTAAGTCTTCTCATACATTAGGTGCTGCCATTGATCCAATCCCTATAATAATGCTGGGTCATTATTTGCAGTGAATTCAAGACAGGCTAGATATTGAATAGAGCTGTGGTAAATGCCAGTGTGATTACAAGGTAGGTCTGAATAGCGAAAATAGAAGGGAGATAATAGACAGCCTTCTAATCAATCAATTAAACAGATAAAATCCCCCTAAAGGACCACTCAAGGCACCCAGACCACTTCAGCTTAATGAAGTGATCTGGGTGCCAGGTCCCTCTAGGATTAACCCTTTTTTTAATAAACATGGCAGTTTCAGAGAAACTGCTATGTTTATGTTAGGGTTAATCCAGCCTCCAAATCCTCTAGTGGCTGTCTCATTGACAGCCGCTAGAGGCGCTTGCGTGCTTCTCACTCTCCCCAGAGCCCGGCGGGAGTGGGACCCTGAGGGTGGGGGCACCCTCAGGGCACTATAGTACCAGGAAAACGAGTATGTTTTCCTGGCACTATAATGGTCCTTTAAGCTAGCACAACGTTATGATCGTTGCAGTTCTAAAACAGCTCAAAATCTAAATTGTGTCCACCCCTGATCAGGTCAAATAAGGTTTATAGTAGGACGAAATTTTAAATAAAAAAATACTAGGGTGTGTGGAACATCTGCAAATTTAGATCCCAACGAAGGATTGTGGACAAATTTTATTATTGTGGAGCAGGAAATTGTGGAAAGCACAACCTATATGCCAAAACTAAAGCTGTATAATTTATTGATTTTTTTCTGGCACAGTTGAGACCTGTCAAAAAAAGGTCCATAATGACTTGTAGGTCATAAGTTGGAGAATCATATAGGCTGGCTTAATATGGTCTTTGTAATCGTTTGTTTCTTGAAAATTATGTAGTCTTTCTTTTAACTATAGAATCTTACAGTTAATTTAGTGAATAAATAGTTTTGTTTTGTTTTTTCAAATTGAATTAGGAAACACAAAGGTGCATTGTGACAATCATCTTCCACCCCATTTAACCAAGAAGCCAAATAAAAGGATACAAGGGAGTTTGCAGGAGCACGGCTTCAGATATACAATGTGACTTCTTTTAACCACATCTGAAACCTGTATGTAGAACGGTGTGTCTGAATTCGCAGTGTTAGCTGTATTAAAAATGTACAAACAAAAAGCACCTGAATATAAAGTTTACTCAAATTTTCATGTACTGTATAGCATTACAGCATTTTTGCTGCAAAAGTAATTTGAAGTCTTGAGATTTTGATGCTCCTACAGCTAACAGTTTGGTTGGTCACACCAGATTTTCAGAAAGTGATAGGTGGTGGGTGGGAGAGAGGATGCGGATCTACGTGCTGGAGACGAGAAAGGGAAAAAAATGCTGCGGGGAAATGCAAGAATGTGTCCATGTCCGTGTGCCTCTCCGTACACAATATGTCCCCACTCCGCACCTAAATGAAGGTGATCTGAGATTAATATTATTGTTAATTGTTCATCCTCTGGATTGTAGTAGAAAGGATCAATAGGCCAGTGTGAGGTCAAAAGGGCTGGATTGATTATGAGACTCAAACCAATTTACTTTCTCATTCTTCAAAGTCATTATTTCCTTTTTACTTACACCCATCTTTCTTTTACCTCATCTCTCTCCTGTTACCATCTCTTTTTCTCTACCTTTCCTTATGGGTTCTGTTTATCCTCCATTTATATTTCTTTTTCTCTCTTTCTTTCCACTATAACACCCTCCTTGCTGTTAGTCTGTTTAATTCTTGTATTGTTTGTTCCTCTCTGTGTCGTTCCTCCTTATCTCATTCTGTACCTATCTCCTTAGATGTAAGATCTTGCCATCGCCCTGACTTCTTTCATTAACCCTGATCTTGCCCTGATTTTTTTTTATCTCTCGTTATCTAATTTATCCAACATCACCTCTCTGTTTCTTGCTAGTTCCTATACTTGCATACATGATTAACACGACAAATAACAAGGACGTCGGGAGACTAGCCGTAGTCTTGCTTTCTTATTTTAGTTATCCAGCAACTTTTTCAGAGTATAAACTGAGAAGTAAATGTAAAAAAATTGTTCAAAACTAATTTATGGCAAAACTGAATAAGCAAATCAATGATTCAAGTGAGTGTGGAGCTTTGCAGGACAAGAAGGAGGTAGAAGGTGTCGGAGTAGTGGGTGGGGGAATACGAAGTACTGTTACAATGTCTTTGTCAATGTTTAAGTTGAGCGCCTGAGGTTACAGAACAGTAAGTGTCTATGAATCTTCCTGTCATTCGGATCTGATTTGGATTGCACAAAATTGCTTTACTGAATAACACATTTTCATTTGTTATGGCCAATAACTGCTCTGGGGATGGAGATGCAGGGATTTCAGCTGATCCACAAGTGTCATGAAACCGTAATAAGTAGACGGTCAATAGTATTTGACTGAGTTACCAACAATACTGGACAAAGCGGTCAAATCACTCTCTCTGCGTGAGAATTTAAGCTCAGACTTCAATAAAATTCAAGCTTTTAACTGACAGAAAATGAAAGCACTATGCCACAATGAAAGCCAATGAAAAAAAAACAGCAAAGAGCCTGTCTCACAGACACGTTATGAGGCTGTCCAAAACGCTGTGCCAGCTACAATGACACATTGCATTGGTTTTCACAACATAGTGCCAGCCTCGCTGACATATAACAAGAATATTCACAAAACACACAGTGCCAGCCTCGCTGACCTATAACATGAGTATTCACAACACACACAGTGCCAACCTCACTGACATATTGCAAGGATATTAACAACACACACAGTGCCAGCCTCAATGACATATTGCAAGAGTAATCACAAAACACACAGTGCCAGCCTCACCTACATATTGCAAGGGTATTGAAAACACATACCAGCCTCTCTGTTGCAAGGGTATGCTTCGTGCAGTGCCAGCCTCATTTACACATTACAAGGATGATAATGGGACCCCGACCAGGCCATGGTTCCAGCGTCTTGGCTAAACCTGCTCTGAGACTCTTGGTACCACTTGCCCAGACCTACTTTTATTTATTTTCTCTGTTAGTGCCAAGCTACCACAAACTTTCTAAGAACTTAGCTGTGTTCTAGTTCTTCCCTTGGGAGTGGTGATTAAGGATGTCCTGCATTTCTACAGCACAGAAGCCGCTTCTCCAGCTAAGGCCCAAACTCCAACAAGAATAAGAAATAAGTTTTCATCATCTCTTGGCCAAGTTGGCTAAGAGTTGATATTACTGATGCTTAATAACATAAAAGAATATCTGCCCCTTTAAGTGACTGCCATTTTATCCCAAATACTCTGGGACTCGTCGGTGCAGTAGATCTATGAATCCCTCCTATAACTCTGAATGCATTTTTGCTTACTTGTACATACTGTATATTATCTTTTTGTATCTGCTGATGTTGTGTTGTCACCAACATTTTCAAAGTCATCTGCCCTTGCCCACCCATTAGGGATTCATATGTCTCTTTGTGTTCTGTCATCATGTGAAGAAAGAAAACAAGATTTATAATCACCAATAAAATACAATTTATGATATAAGAAGAAGTCGAGAATATGGAATATTATATATTATATATAATAAATAGACGGATATTTTGTAGCAAAAGCAGACATACACCAGGTATGTATAATTAAATAAAATTCAGATAATCACAACCTCACAGAGAAATTTGAATGCCTTTTTGGAATTGAGAACACATCATGACCGTATGTGGCATATTAAATAACTGCACAGTTTTAAGTAGGGAACGTCAAGATAAAACAAGCTAGATCAGGCATGTCTAGATATGAGCCATTATGTAGGCTGAGCTGAGTCTGGCTAATGAATACAATCTAAGCATTAGACAAGTCTGTAAATAATAGTAGAGGTTGGCTAGCTAGACACGTTTATACAGTTTAGTATACAAGCTTGATAATTAGTTAACAGTA